GGTATAGTATTAGCTTTGTAGTATTAGCTGTATAGTATTAGCGGTGTAGTATTAGCGGTGTAGTATTAGCGGTGTAGTATTAGCTTTGTAGTATTAGCGGTGTAGTATTAGCGGTGTAGTATTAGCGGTATAGCATTACCACAGCTCCCATGATTTGTGGTTGTTAGCAGCTAACAGAGTTAGTTTGTTATTTAATATTAATAATTATCTGTTTATATATGGTATGGTCTTCAGTGTGTCTCAGAGATTGTTATTTAATATTAATAATTATCTGTTTATATATGGTATGGTCTTCAGTGTGTCTCAGAGATTTGACACAATGTTTCCGTTCAGGAGAAATGTTAGCTAATCTTACGCTAGCGTTAGCTAACTCTAGCTAACGCTAGCATGTCTCCGGGCCTCTCCTCAGGACCCACCTGCTCGGTGCAGCTTGACTTCCGGCTTCAGCACAGCATCGAGCAGCCTCTTCTGGCTCTGGATCTCCCGCTCTGACCGCTCAGCTCGGTCTTCGTACTCCGCCACGGTTTCCTCAAACAGACCGACAATCTCCTCCGCAGCCGCCGTTAGCCGCTCCGTGAGCAGCGCTCTCAGCGCCGAGATTTCTGCCGCTTCTTCTCCTTTTCCCACCCGCAGCAGAACGTCTTCGGCGGCGGCGCCGAGCCGCTCGTGTACCGACACCCGCAGCAGCCGCACGGCGCACATTTTGCTCCTTTTTCTGCGGACAAAGAGAGCCAGCGGGTCCGCGAACACACACACGGAGTTCCGCGTCAACGACGGTTCGCTTTGAGGAGAGCGAAGCGGCGGAAGCGAACAGCGAACTCTGCTGGGCCGGAGGGCGAACGACAAGGAGTACTCTGATATGAAATTGAAATTCAATTTTATAATAGTCGTCATTTACATATACACAGGTACATATACATGAAATGTAACTTCTGCATTTAATCCATCCCTAGCTTATTGGGAGCGGTTAGGGGTTTAGTGTCTTGCTCAGGGACACTTCGGCACATGACTGGTAGCAGCCAAAGATCGAACTGCCGACGTTGTGGTTGCGGGACGACCCTCTCTACCCAATGAGCCACGGCTGCCCCAATTATTGAAGTAGTAATATACACTTTATTTGGTGAACCTCATTCTGAGCTTCATGTTAAGATATAGTTACTCCATGGGGCTTTTATTTTGAAAGGGCGGGACTGGGTGGGTGAGAGAGGGGGAGAGACAGACAAAGAGACAGACAGAGAGAGAGAGATACAGACAGAGAGAGAGAGAGAGCGAGTGTGTGTGTTGGAGAGGCTGACTGAAACATTCCAGTTGTTAGGAGGTACCCATCGAACACAGTAAAGTGATTTTGAACAAAACTCCTGCCTCCTTTTCAAAATGAGAGAGATAAGACTCTGCCGAAATCTCTGATGTGTTTTTTATGTTTATGGTGTTAAAAATGTGAGCTACAGAGCAATATACAAAACTGGTACCGTCTGCTTTCTTTGAGAAATGAGTGGTGAGGTTTAATATGGAGTCTAATCGAGCAGTTGGTTGGAGTTCATGTCGCTCTGCGGCTCTTTGAGCCAAATGTGTAAGTCTGTTGGATTCCATAGACACATGCGTGCGACCAGCACAAAATGTCCTATCGTTTTGACCAACAATGGACCTGGAGCAATTTGATTGGAAAAATCACAGAATAGTTTTTATGCTCTGACCGTGATGTCATCACTCTAGCATGGAATGTTCCGTGCAATACACACCTATTATAAAATCTGAAACGGAACCCAAATTTTCCTGAAACTTAACCTGTGACTTCATGAAAACTGTGCTAGCTATCAAAATGTCCCTTTGGCTCAATAAAGCCCAGCGTTTTGTCTACGTTTTAAACTTCAAATCATTTTTCTACGTTAAAGTATGGCTCGTCAATATGGGCCCAAAAGTTAAGTGTTCAAGTGAATGGAGAAATTTTGCGCCGTTTTTCGGGAAAACCGCTGGGCAAATCTCTGAGAAAAGTCATAGCACACCATTCCCGATCAGGCTGCATGTTTTGATGTATTTTGCACAGGTGTTGGCAACGCTGTGTGATGAGAAGCATGTCAAATTTTTATATGGGAGATAGAGAATAACACGAGTTACTATTACTAGAAAATGCACTTCCTGCTGAAAATGCGTTGGAATGCTGAAAGCTGAAATGAATTGCAAAAACATTGCTGAAAATACAGAAATGGGAGACTGCCTGTCTGAATGATGTTGAAGCCCGAAAGCATTTAAACTGCACTGCTGAAAACCCTTCTAGTTGAAATGTCTCACTATGGTGTCTGTAGCTGAAAGTATGAGGAAGAAGAAGGCTTTGAAAGTTGAAGTTTAAGAGGATTTGAAGATTTTCTCCATAGAGATCCCATTCAAAAGAAAATTGCAAAAAGCTTAATAATTCAAAAAGTTTAAAGATTAGAAATATGAAAAGTCATATCAGCCCTCTCCTGAAGAGCTGAACATTTTGATATTCGAATGGTTTCTGTAGCTTAAAAAATGTCGGCAGTAGTGATATTTGTAGTAGTACTAGAAGTTGTAATTGTAGTAAAAGTATTATTATTAAGAAGAAGAAACCCTTTTTATTGTCATATACATATACACATACACGAAATTTGACCTCTGCATTTGAGCAGTGGGCTGCCAATGACAGGCACAGTACTAGTAGTAGCAGTAGTGATATTTGTAGTAGTACTAGAAGTTGTAGTTGTAGAAGTATCATTAGTAGTAGAAGTATTAGTAATTAGAAGAAGTAGTAGAAGTAGTAGTATCAGTAGTCGTAGTAATAGCTGTAGTAGTGGTCGTAGTATTTAATAGAACAGTAGTAGTAGTTAGGGCTGGGCGGTATGACCAAAAATGCATATCACGGTATTTTGTAAGATTCTGGCGGTTTCACGGTATTTCTTTTCCGCGTTAAAGCATTAATTAATTAACGCCAAAAAGAACCGGCCGGCCAACCGGCCAGCGAGCGGTGAACAGCTGTTTGTGTGGCGTGTCTTCCGTTCTGTTACTTCCTGTTTCCTTCACCTACATTCCCCTGGGTCTTAAGTCCCTCCCTGTACAGCTTCTTATCACCCTCTATGTACCAACGTACATTTATAACAAATACCACACATATTACGGTAATCAGCGTTGCATATGTGTCTGACCAAAATACCTTTTGTTGTTCAGTCTTTGTTCATCCTGCATCGCTCTTTTCTGTTCTTTAATGTAACATTACTGGAGCGACAGAGCCTCTCCCATATACATACGTATACATATACATACGTATACACATATACATACGTATACATATACACATATGTATACGTATACACATATACGTATACATACACACATATACAGATACATATACATATATACACACGTATACATATACACACGTACACATATACACATATACGTATACATACATATACACATATACACACGTATACATATACACATATACACACGTACACATATACACATATACGTATACACATATACATATGCACACGTATACATATGCACACATATACATATACATATACACACGTATAACATATACATATACATACCTATACGTATACACATATACATACGTATACATATACACACGTATACATATACACACGTATACGTATATATATACACACTTATACACACATATACATACGTATACATATACACATATACATACATATACACGTATACATATATACATATACATACGAGTACACATATACATATGTATACACACACATACGTATACACATATACATATACACATACACATATACACATACACACATATACATATACACATACACACATATACATATACATACGTATACATATACACACATATACATATACATACGTATACACATACACATATACATACGTATACACATAGACATTTACATACGTATACACATATACATATGTATTCATTTACATACGTATACACATGTATACGTATACATATACACACATATACATACGTATACATATACACATACATACGTATACATATACACACATATACACACGTATACACACGTATACATATACACATATACGTATACATATGTATACGTATACACATACACATATACACACATATACATATACACATACACACATATACATATACATACGTATACATATACACACATATACATATACATATGTATACACATACACATATACATACGTATACACATAGACATTTACATACGTATACACATATACATATGTATACATTTACATACGTATACACATGTATACGTATACATATACACATATATACACACGTATACATATACACATACATACGTATACACACGTATACATATACGTACGTATACACATACACATATACACACGTATACATATACTCATATACACACGTATACATATACTCAAATACACACGTATACACATATACACACGTATACATATACATGCGTATACATATACATACTTATACATACGTATACATATACACATACATACGTATACACATATACATATACATACGTATACATACGTATACACATACATACGTATACACATACACACGTATACACATACACATATACATACGTATACATTTACATACGTATACATATACACACATATACGTATACATTTACATACGTATACACACGTATACGTATAAATATACACACGTATACATATATACGTATACATATATACATACATACGTATACACATACGTATACATATACATACGTATACACATACGCATATACATACGTATACATACATATACATATTGTGACGGCCCAGGGCCATCAGGAAGATTGGATGCAGCTGGCCAACCCCTTCACCCTACAAGACCCGCCCCATCCGGAGGAGGGGCTGGCTTCTTTTCCCTGACACCTGGTGTGCTACACGGAGTGTTTAGGGGGAGCAGTTACACCATCTGGGATGCTGCGAGAATGCTCTCCTGTTGTGCACTTTGAACTGTCCCAACCTTTTTCCAATAAAGGTGGTTTCTTTATTTAGCACCGTGCCTGAGTTTTCGTTGTTGTGGTTCAAGAGCCAGACCATAACAATATACATACGTATACATACACACATATACACACGTATACATATACTCATATACATACATATACATATACTCAAATACACACGTATACACGCTTACATATACACATATACATAGGTATACACACGTATACATACGTATACACATACATACGTATACATACATAGACATATGCATACGTATACATATACACATACTGTATACATACGTATACGTATACACATATACACACGTATACATATACATGCGTATACATACGAGTACACATATACATATGTATACACATACACATACGTATACACATATACATACAGTATGTGTCTGACCCAAATATCTTTTGTTGTTCAGTCTTTGTTCATCCTGCATCGCTCTGTTCTGTTCTTTAATGTAACGTTACTGGAGCGACAGAGCCTCTCCCAGCTGTTAGCAGACTGTTGTTAGCGAGCTTTACCCAGCATGCAGTTCGGCGGTGTAATTTTATAAATGTACAATTATTAGTGTTACAAATTGTTTATCTGTCACAAACTGTTGTGTCGTGGCGTTTTGCCCTATTAAAGAGCGTTAGTTGTGGGTTATTAGTTGTTGTTATAAAGTTATGACCATGACTAGGGTTCCCTCTCAATACAGTTAAGATAACTAGCTCCGACCACAGCGCTCTCAGCGGCGAACAATATATTTTGCTGCCTGTTGAAGAGCAACAGAAGTTGCATCGGCTGTGTACCGGTATGACAGTATATGAAAAATTCATATCGTACGGGAAATTAAAACCGGTATACCGCCCAGCCCAAGTATGTGTTCATCATGATGAAGGAGCATGTCACCCAGTGCAACAGCGTGCTTCATATATGTGTTTTTAATAAATTCTGGATGATAGAGCTACTATTAATAGAGGCTATATCAGGCTTTGTTGCACAAAATACTAGTTAGTATTCACTGTTGGGTTGAGTCTAAACATGCTGACAAAAAGAGAAAAAAATATCACTAAAGTAAGAATATTTTTAATATAACAATATTAAAACAAAGATAATTTTGATTAATTGATTTACTTGTCAGCTCGTGTTGATAAGAAGCGCCAACGATCAGGTGACAGTCCACC